GACGCCTCCTCCGAATACACCTGTCCTGCCAGTCCCATCCAGGACGAATACCTTCAACGTTTCCCATTTGTCATATGCTTCACCATCTGCCTGGCCGTTGTGAACCAGGCTAAGTTCAAGCAAATCCCAATCATGCTAATCATTTCATTTGCGGGCTACGTGACGAATTACTTCGGAACCAAACGGTTCTACTCGAGCACTCAAGTGTCCAATGCCTTGGGCGCTTTTGTCATTGGTGTCATGGGAAACCTATACAGCCGCTTGCGACACGGGCTTGCTGCAGCGGCCATGCTACCCGCAATCTTTGTGCTTGTCCCGTCCGGACTCGCCGCCAGTGGATCTCTCATCTCCGGGATCGCGTCGGCGGAACAGATGACCACCGGGACGACCGCTTCCTCCCCCATTTCCAATGGTACCCAGGGATTTGTGGATGCTGCGAAGAACATGTCGCAAAACCCCGCAGCCCAAACCGAATACCACGGAGTGGTTTTTGATATCGGGTTTGGAATGATCCAGGTTGCCGTTGGCTTTACTGTTGGTCTTTTCCTCGCCGCCTTGGTGGTATATCCTCTTGGGAAAAAACGAAGTGGACTGTTCAGTTTCTAAATATATAAAGAATTTGTTTCTGTTGCTTGACTTGCGCATCTCTTACCTTTTTTCTTTTGGGAGTTTGATTGATTCCTATTTTTTTTTTCTCTCTTCGAACTTAATTCATGGAAGCGAGTTTGTCGTGTTACTTCAGCGAGACAGTTTTCTTTTCTTTTCTTTTCTTCTCCTTTTTTTTTTTTTGCCTTTTATCAGATTTGTTGTTGCCAGATATTCAGAGATTCCCACCCTATAGTTTCAGCATGTCTTGTGTGTGACTTGGCTTAATTTTCATTCTAATTTGTGAAACATCTCCGTCGATCTTGTCGTTGCATTATTACTATTTACTTTTGTCGCGTGTATTATTGGGACCCTCGTTTTCTTGAGACTGATTGATTGATGGATGGATTGGAACTAGACCGACCTTCTTTATTGGCAAGGAAAAAAGCGACCTTGTGATTCTTTTTTTTTTTTGCGTTACAACTTTCTTTCTTTCTTTTTTCTTTCTTTGTACTGCTCGGCTTCTTTTTCTGCAGCAGTCTACTTCGTTCGCTATTATTATACATGTCTATAAACCAGCGAGTCATATACAAAACACGGACAGACAAGACATATAGAAGAGACGAGTCACGACTACCCACAACTACTTTTTTCTTTAACAATCTATCATAGTTCTTTCTTGTTGACTCTCGGCCCTCTCACTAGAGATAGATAGATATGGGGGGGGTTGGTTCCTTTAGAAAGTTGGGACTTCTGATCTGTACATGCATGTTCGACGTTCTGTCGGTTCAACGAAAAACAACATGGGTTAGTCATTCAGAAAACCAACACCAAGGCGCATTCATTCTACACGGAGCTTGTTCTTGATAACGCTCGGTCAGTTTACTTAAGTCTACTGCTTCTACGCACTGATTGATAGCTGTAACCAGGCACTCTTAAAAATGCAGTCATAATGATCTCGGATATTCAAGTCTGTATAGGGACATACATAGCCAGATGTATGTATACACGGGAGCGAGTGAACAACCTTCGAGATAGATCCAGTTCGTTCTCAACTCAAAAACGAAATAAAAGAGAGAGAAAGGAAGAAAGAAAAAAATTATTCCAATGACCCCCAGATTCTCCCATATCGATCGAGTCTCCAGGGTTGAATTTCGAATTCAAGTCCATTTTCAGCAATCTGTCCAAGTTGGTGTGAAAAAGGAATGGAGGCGAACGAATAGAGGAAATGATGAAAGTAGAAGCCAATCAAAGATTTCAAAAGAAAAGAAAAATACCACACCAGGATTGGAGCTATCAAACGAGAGGTACTGGAAGAATATAAACCACCAGGTGGAGAGAGAATAAAGAGAAAAGGAAAAGCAATAACATAGCAAAATGAAAGAAAGATGGTCATCCAAAGTCTTGCAGGTCCGTTACGTCTCAGTCACATTAAGGAACGATATTCGCATTACATGATCGGGCTCTTGCGCTTTTCAGCGCTGGAGAGCACAAGCATCGGAGTCTTGCGTCTCTCCGGACCCTGGGCTACCGTCTTCTGGCCCGCGACGACAGCAGCCACCGAAGGGGATCCCATAGGAGAGGAAACCTGATCGGTTCGAATATCCGTGAATTTGCTCGCAAAGTAGCCCCCATCTTCACTGACGGGCGTGGTTGTGTAATAAGGGCTGTCCTGGGACCGGCGTTCACGAGAAGATCTTTCCTTCCTCTCGGAGCCGATGGCGCCATTGGCCGCAGCACGAAGACTGCCCAAACTTGGTTTGCTGGAGAGACTGCCACTGCGAACGGTAGCGTCATCTCCGTCAGAGAACGTAAATTCCTTCTCACTGGCCGGGGTGTTGGTACCACCGCTACTGTGGTAGCTCCGAGTCTCTCCACGCCTTTCGATGCCCGCACGCACCAAATTGTGCACAGCACGGCGACGCTGGCGAGTTGCAAAATTCTTGCTGCCTTCATGCTTGGATGTAGGCTTTGTAACAAGCTCCTCCAGCGATGGCGGGCCTCGGGGTTGGCGGATCGGATGCTCTCCAGCACGATTCTGTCCAGGTCCAAAGGTGCCAGTCGCCGGTGTCTGCGGCAATGCAGCAGTCCTTGGGGCCGCCGCGGTGACATTGGTATTGGCTCTGGTGGTGTCAATAGGAGCTTTCGTTCCGGGATTGAAGGATGGGTTCTTCTTGTGACCCCTGCGGAACGCATTTGCAGATGGTGGTGGTAGCGGTGTAGTCTCCTGAGGGGGAGAAGGGCTGCTACTTGGGGGGGACACAGTATTCACCGGAGAATGAGTCGTCTCCAAAGGAGGAGAGACCTCGGCACGAAAAGGTGGGACATGCATAGCGGGCGACTGGACATCCTCCTCCTGATAAGGAGAAAGATTTTCCTGTTGGAAAGAGTTGTCGTAAATGTAATTCTGTTGGCCCGTAAGAGGGTTATAGACCGAGAAAAGACCTGGCTGACCAGGGACGGGCTGGACCACGGGCTGGACCCCCTGTTGGAGCTGCTGCTGGTAGAGCCCCAGTCCTGAGGCAGAGATGGGAGAGAAATCTTGCTGCTGCTGGCCCATGGGCATTCCGAGGTGAAGGCCCTGGAATTGCTGTGCTGCAGCAGTCACGCTAATAAGCTGCTGCTGCAGGCGCTGTTGCTGAGCAGCGAGAAAGAGGTTGGTCGACATCAATTCCGCGTACAGACTCTCATCGATGGGCAGATCGCCAGTGATGTCAAGGGAAGGGGGCGCAAGCACCTGCTCCGGCAGGGTATACATAGGTCGACCCGTGTTCATATCCAATCCTTGATTCATGGCCATGGAGTGTCGGGGGAAGCCAGTCCCCATCGCCGTCTGTGGAATCCGTTCCGAGGTACGGTTAGAAAGATTTCCATATCGGTCGCCCTCGACACCGAGGTGGTGCTGGCGTTGAGAGGCGGAGGGGACTGTGGCCGACTTGGGAGCAGTTCTCAGACCAGCCAACAGATGCGAACGGCTGGTGCGAGGGGTTGGGATCGGAGCAGAAGGCTGAGACTCATCGATGGTAGAGATATGAGGAGGGGGAACACTCAAACGCTTCATATGCGAGCCTTTTCTCCGAGACGCAAACCCGGAATTGGGAACTCCCAGGGAGCCCCCATTGTTGAAAGACGAATTGTAAGTCATCTGAGCAAGACCACCAGTGTCCATACTCAAGGTTATAGGCAAAATATAATGTAATATGTGCAGTAGGTGGTAGAACAAGAAGAATCAAGTGTCTGGTAATCACAGGCGTGAGGGCGGTCGATCAGCGAGAGTAAATAGGCGTATTAGATTATTACAACAAGGTTTAGCGATCGCGAAAGGCTGAAGATGGTTCGAGACAAGCGAGATAGGGTGTATTGGGTATTATGCGAGAGATGAGGTAAGAAAGTCGTGATTCCCTGTAAGGGGAAAGCTTGGGGACGTGTCAGTTGGGAGTGAGTGATGGAGAGGTGGATTGTCGTCAGGCTTACCTTTTGGGAGGGGGGGGGAGGTAGACAGAACGACTCCTCCACGACCAAAGTAAAAACAAAAAGAACGGCAATTAATAGCCAGTAAAGGCAAGAGTGAAGCGGTTCAAGAGAGACAAGTAGAGTCGATAGACGGTAGACGCGACCGGACGTCGGGAAAATGAACCGAGTGAAGAAGGCAGAAAAAGAAGAGAAAGTCTCAGTTGTTGATTATAAAGAAGAGATAAGAAAGACGCGAGAGATGCTCTGCAGCTCCCAGCGATAGAAACAGATAGATCGGTCGACGGCAGAGAGGGTCAGTCAACACACGAGGTGGTGAAGCACAGGCGAGAGACGATGGAGAGGGAGATATTAACTCCCGAGTCGTCGAGACAAACAATCAGGGAGATGTAAGGGATGGATGGAAAAGAAAGATCCACGCTGTTGGGAATGGGATTTTTTTGGGGATTATATATAATGTTTTTCTTCGAATAAATATAATTTATTTAAATTCTTTTTTTTTTTTCGATGAGAATAGAAAAAAAAAAAAAGAGAAAGAAAGAAGAAAAGATAGATGCAATGCGATCGGGGGGAGGGGGAGGAAGAGGTGGAGATCAAAAGAAGGAAGAAAGCGTGAGGAGTGAAGGAGACGAAAGAGACGAAGGAGAAGGAGAAGAAGAAGAAGAAGAAGAAGAGCAGAAGGAGAGATGTGAGAGGCTGATTGGATTTGCCTGAGGCGTTTCGGCTCTCGGCGCGTGTTTGGTTCGAATTTTTCCCTTCCGGTGGTTCCCCCCATCAGGCACCAGGTCAATAGTTCATTAAAAAAAAATACAACACAATTGTCCACTATAACTTGTCATTATCATTATTATTAGTATTATCTGTGGAGTTATTACTTCTAAAAAAAAAAAAAAAAAAAAAAAAAGAATACAAGGAAAGATCGAGATAAAAAAACCAAAAATATGTGGAGAAATCGCGGATCGAACGCGAGACCTTTCCAATGCAAATGGAATGTCATACCACTAGACCATATCCCCATGGAGATTACTAATACCTATATACATTATTCCTAGAAGGAAAGAGATCTTTCTTGAATGTTATGTCTCAAGGAGGATTGCGAAAGACACAGTGGAGCCAGTGGAGCCTATAGAGTCAATTCCCGCGAATGTATTTATCCTATAAGGTATATATATATATTTACATACACGATCCATGGAATAATAGAGCATGTGGAACTCCATCATGTTGACATTCGAAATTACACATATCGTTCAATCATATTGTACTATCCATGTCAAAACAACATGGACAATGTTGGTTGGTAACAAAGAGATCCGGGAGAATATGGAATACAAGAGCACGCCCAGCATGGGATAATCCACCGGTCATAACAAAGCCAAAAAAAAAAAAAAAGAAGATAAATGGGTATCTGCTGGTAGGGCAGGACTTGTACCCGCCAGAGGTGGAAGAGATACAACTAAAGCTGCACAGGGGACAGCCTGAGGAGAGAGGGGGCAAAGAAGCGTTGATAGGCACGAAAAATAGAGAGACTATATGCCTGGATAGCCCAAACATCGCTGAACATATCCTGCCTGTGCCATGGTAAATAGCGATAGCTCCGTCATAAAAAAGACATGTTGAGCAGGGATGTGGTAAATGAATATACACGGTTGGATGTGGGTGGGTCATGCTTTACTAGACATCCACAGATATGGTAGGTTCCGGGAAAGGGAAGGACGCCGAATCTTTATGTTCAGGCATGGGTGATTCCGGACCCATGCCCTTCCCATTCATGCGGTCGAATTCCAGGGTTTCGGCCAGCTCAGCGGCCATGGGGTCCAGTTCCTCCTCTTTGAGGCCTGTCGCGAGGGCCACAAGTTTGCGATGAACGTCGAACTTGGTGCTCACACCTGCATCCGCGGTTTGTTGAGCGAGATCGCTTACAGCGGTGCGCCGTGTTTTTTGGGCGTCACACAGCTTCCGAGCCAATTGATAGACTGCCAGTAACCTGGTCTGCTCATCGGAAGATACTTTCGCGTTTTCGCTTGGATTTGGCAGTAATGCGATTTGTTCCTTCAGTCGAGCCTGCTGGATTTGTTCTAATAGAGACTCATAACTTGCCCTCAGCTGTTCGTAGCGGCCGAGCTGCGTGTTGATAGACTCGTCCTCAGCTTCCCTCCTCGCAAATGCCGTAGACTGCTCTCTGATCTTCTGCCGATCCAATTCTAACTGCTCATACAGTGCTTCGGGATTCGCAATATCATCAGAGTCCTGCTGGCTTGCCTTCGAGCTGCCGTAACTGACAGCGAGCTTTTTGTTGGCTTCCGCCATAATCACGCCGATCTTAGAAAGTAGCGCAGTAGTTGCAGATGACAGCTCTTGAGGGGCAACCACTGATTGGGAATCAGTGTTGGCTGGCCCATTCGTTTCACCTTCGATGTGGTCATTCCCCATAGTGATCGATGACGGGGGAGGGGGAACATCCCGGTCGGGATTATGTGTTCGCGTAATGCTTAGTGCTGTCTCCCCTTTTTTATTCACCAGATCCCCAGCTCGAGAGCAATGGGTAAGGAGTAGGTTGACCAGGCGGAATGCCCCGTTCCGAGCAGCGACCAAGGCAGCGGTGTCTCCATTTGAGTCCTGACACGACGACAGCATGTCAATCTCGTCAGGAGAACATGTTGCGCGTAATTTGTCTAACAGCACCTCACAGTAGTATCGAGAGCTCTTCCATTTCCCTTTGCTCCTGGTGGTTTCCGCTATGTGGTGGAACAAGGTAGCCCCGAACCAATCTCTAAACGAGACCGTGTCCAGAAGCAGATCCAGAAGTACTGGAAACGTCCTCTTTTCATAGTTGTTTGTGAATAGAACAGCACGCACAAGTGGTGTCTCTTCATGTACCGACAGCGCCTTCATATCGGCTCCCCGACGTAGCAAATCCCTAACTATTTCTAAATCCCCCATGGCGCAAGCCCAATGGAGAGCTGTATTTCCAGAATCGTCGATGGCCCGGTCCACCTGAAAATTTGCGGGGGGTTCTGGTGGTGGCACACGAGTCGCTTCCGGAGCATCACCCACTGTCATAAAGTAATCCAATAGTTGGTCTCCATAGATAATGTGCTCCTGTTCACTGACTGACATCGCCGGAACCTCGTTGCCACGTTTGCGTTTGCGTGAATATGTACCATTGTGTGACATAGGCATCATCTCCTCGTCCGCCACCATCGAAGAGGATTCGAGTGTTGTCTGTTCAATCGACTCATCCTCATCAAACCCAGAGTGCATCTCATACTGCTCATGCGTGAAGGTCGGAGGTCCCATGGGGGGAGGAGGAGGAGGGCGGTGGGCTTTTGCAGCCTTAAAAACTTCTTCCTTTGCGGCTTTCCGGTTCGCTGCAGCCTTAGAGGCCCTCGGTTTCGATGAGGCAGAAGTGTGTTTCGGCGCCGGAGGGGGGGTTTTATCTCCAGCCACGTAGTCGAGAATTGGCCGAAGCTTGTCGATTATGTTATTGCGCTGGGCGAGCTGGCGCCCTTCTGGAAGCGGTATCCATGTTCCTGTTTATCTATAGTTAGCCAAGGGGTGAAAGATTTATCTCAAGAATGGTTGATCTGATTTACCTTGATATTTACCATAGCCGCCTTGTACCTTTTCATGAACTCCTTTCTGTACCTCGCGCTCAAGGATGCGAGTTCTTGCGGGCTTATCAAAACCGGCGACTTTGAGAATATGTGTGGCATTGATCCAATTATCGCCCCGTCTTCGCATAACACTATCTCCATCGAGTTTGAGCTCGTATACAGGAACCTAATGGGGCAATGTCAGACAAGTTCCAAAATTCCGGGGCGATTCAAACCGCCCAACACTGGAAAGTGAGCAGATTGTGGACTTACACTGCTATACGTAGCAGAATAAACCTTGGAAAAATCCACCTCCACCATGATGTGCGTCGTTATAGGCCGGTTTTGATTTCGTAGGCTGCCGAACAGCAGGAGTCGACGCGGGTGCGGCTTGTCGCGGCGAACTTTGGGGTTTGGATTCAAGATATCTCAGGAGTTATTTGGATTGCACAATGCTCTAGTCGGGAATATTACATATGAGCAGGATTGAAGCGTAAAAATCACAGGATCAGCCACGGGTGGCTCGTCATAGGCTCAGTCGCATCACAAAAAACGCGATGGGTTTGCCCAGCAAGACGCGCGCCCTTGAACGGGCAACCGCGTAAAGTGGAATCGCTCGCACTAGTCTCCTTAGGGAATGCGCGTCACGTGGAGTCACATGACCATACCCGTCCGGAAGGAACAGCAACTTTGGGGATAGCTGCAAACCTCGATATTCGGCCTGTTATTCCCTCCATCCTCCCCCCCCCCTGCCACTTCTATATAAACTCAAGATGACCGTTGCCGAGTCAGTTAAGAGTGCCGTTGGGCTTGCAGAAACGCCTGGTAAGTTTCTACTACCATTGGGCCTCGGTTCCTCACGGGAAACCGCGACATCTCTACCCTATCACCATCGCTTGAATTACCCATTGACTTCCAAATAGCTACCCGACAAGAGATGTCCGATGCCCGCCTCCCCCTCCAGTACCGCGACTCTTGCGCAAACCTCCTGATTCCTTTGAACCGATGCCGACAGCAGGAGTACTACCTTCCTTGGAAGTGCGAGGTATGAGCATAAACCCACTTGCTTTTGTTGCTTTCTTCGCTCTTTTTTATGCCATCGTCTTGTTGGCTTCGCTTTCTGTTTCCCTCTTCTTTCGCCCGTGGAATTGAAATTATACACGTTATACTAACAAAGTGTGGTCACGACAGGACGAGAGACACAGCTACGAAAAGTGCCAGTACGAGGAATTCAAGAAGCGCGTTGCTAAGATGGATGAGCTCCGGGCTGCTAAGGACGGCGCTCGGTCCAATTAATTTCATTATTCACAAAGGTCGGCATGCACATTCGAGACAAAGCGAGGCAGCGGGTTATGTACATAGAGGTTCTGAAATCAATCGTTCATGCACCGACTTTTGGCGTTGGGACATCCCGGAAGGTTTAACTAATGCTGATTCGTATATCCTGGTGATCGTATCTCATTGGTTGTTTGTCGCATTCTAATTTGAGACATGGGGACAGAATCAGGATGTTGTTATTGGGCCTGTCGAGGCCTTCCGTCCAGCTCCGCCGCTGCGCCGAGAATGGACAGGTGCAGCGTTTGGGGCTTAGCGAGTGTCATTGGATTGCGCTCTCCATGCAGGAGGTATATATTATTAAGGTTCCGAGCATGACCCTTGCTGGGATCTCTCGTATGCTGTGGGTGTAACTTATCAGGACTTAGTAATGTCAGGCGTGGGACGGGACGGAGTTGATCTACTACTGTGTTGGTCTGCTTACGCCCTGCTGATCGACGGGCTACCTTCTGCACGAAAGAGTCGACCAACATGAACTTAGAAGGGAATGGATTCGTATCGATCGTCTCGTCCGGTCCGGAGTAATTGCGTAGTGAGCAGACGATGCTTAGAAATCAATCGCCGCGCAAAGAGCGTTTATGGACGATAATCCCCACGGGTTAGTCAGCACGACATTGCCCCGCTGGGAAACGCCGGGCGCCCCCACCAATCGCATCGCCTGGTGGGAATTTTAACATCGCCAAAAGCCTACATCGGGGAAGATATAATTCTGTATTATCTCCTCTTCCTCCCTCCTACTCCTCCCTCTTCTTCCGCTGAACCCTCCTCTCACCTTGGGTTGCATTATTTCTACTCCAACCCTCTATCCTCGGTTTTGTTCCGCATCTCCAACCGGGCTCGGCGCAATTCCCTATCAAAACTTCCCCTCATTCCCCCTCCCCCGCGGGGCAGAGAGTCGACAGATTCCACCGCTACCCCTTGGTATATGGGAGGCTACTTGTGGTTTTGGATCTAGTCTTCACATCGCTGTCTGAATATCTTAGCTGCTTGGCATGATATCATGGGTTTGCTGTATGTTTCCCCCCCTCGTAATTGCTTGGTCGTGATGCCCCCCAACTAACCCTACTTGTTCGCTTAGAGCACTT